AAAGTGCGGAATTACTTCCTAATTGGCGCGTATTCCCTCCGAGGGGGTTGGCTCTACTGAGCTTGAAATGAGTACCTGGCAGGCGGGCGTTTTCAAACGAGGGGAGGGAATTCTTTTTTCTCGCGTCCGCCTCGTGTGCTGAGCTGATCTGAATCAAGCACTCGCTGACGTCACTTGCCCTGAAATCTATCTGATCGGCCCTCCAAAGGGCCCGAGGCAGGGCTAAATCACCGTGAAATTAATATTCCGGCGGAGGGAGGGAGGGAGGGAGGGAGGGAGGGAGGGAGGGAGGGAGGGAGGGAGGGAGGGAGGGAGGGAGGGAGGGAGGGAGGGAGGGAGGGAGGGAGGGAGGGAGGGAGGGAGGGAGGGAGGGAGGGAGGGAGGGAGGGAGGGAGGGGATTTGAGATTTTGTTGGGGAGAGCAGTCGAGGAGGTTGGGTTGAGGGTAGGGATTTTGATCCTGGAGAAGCAAGAAGAGAGGTCCCACCGTGTGTGGAGAGATTTGGCAACTTGGGAATGTTTGAAAGTTGGGTGAGAGGCTGGGAGAGGCGATGCAGGGGGAGGGGGGGTGAGAGGCGCATATTGACTGATTGCCAGCTACTCCGGTAAGCATAAAGCATTTTTTGCATGATTCCATGGCAGTGATCGTAACCTTCCGAACGTGTCATTGCATTGCCAGTCTTCGTCTAGTGAATCCACAGCATTTACAGGGTGAATTGCCCAATGATGCTGGATGTAATTACCAGCGAAACGTCGTACTCAAACTGTAAATGTTGTGGATTCACTCTTCAACACACCGGTGGGCTAAAGTAGTGAACTATTTGTCTTTTGTCAACGTGACACTTTTTTTTACTGATTGGCCGTGTCGGGTGGTGGAGGGTTACGACACATTTATAAATAACGCGATCTAACTCAAAAACCTTTATTATAAACAAAAAAACGAGTCGATTTTTGGTTGTTGTTGTTGTCTAGCACGTGGCATAAGCGCCCCATGTTGAATTCAGTCTGTACATACACCGCAGGCATGCCACATGTACTTCTTCCCTGCTGTATCATAGCATCAGGCTCAATCTATTAGCTACCACGAGCACTCACATTCTCAAGTCACACGCTCCATCTCAGGTGGGAGGAAATAAAAAAAAAAACTAAACTCCATGCTCAGCCATTCTGACTTTTAATTGTGTCAATTAAAAGCGTAGATAGTTCACCTCTATATTGTGTTTACTGTGCATTGATTAAATAGCACTTTGAAATTATCACCACCAGTACGTTACCCTCTCAATAATTAGCTCCGACTGGCCACTTGTGTTAATTTAAAATTGATATGCTCTATAGATTAGTGCTTTAAACACATAATTATTGTGTATTATGGCACGGCATGCTTTATCACTGCCACAACAATGCAATTAATTATCTTTGTCTCGATGTCCATGTAAGATGCAATTATAATTGTTATCAAGGACGGCTGCATGGTATGCATGCGATTCATTGGTGTTACAGTATGCTGGATTTAGCGCTGCACCATTACATACTGTTTTTTTGGTGTAATTATTCGGTGCATTGTACAATAATTGCGGAGTAGAGTTGGTGAAGGATTGCGCCATGAGCAGGGAACCTGATTTTAATTCCCGGCTGTGGCTCACATTCACTGAAAGATGATATCTGCACAGGATCTCTCCCCCACGCCACCACCCCTTCACCAACCCACACCAACCAGTGTGGTGAAGTATGGTCAAACAACCCCTGTGAGTGATAAGACAGACATTCGTTGAACTTCTTTTCGCACCGTACATCGCCAAACGTGCATATCGGAGGTTTGCATCTGGTAATGAAATAAAATTGAACATTTAATTATTGCTGCCCTTTGTCCAATCCGTGACTGAAGGTCACGGGGGTTGTTTGACCATACTTCACCACGCTGGCGTAGACCGTGGCAGGTTCATAACGTCAATCGCCGCGCCACCACTCCTTCACACCTCCAGAAACTCATTAGACCCGACTAAAACAAGTGATAACTTTAATGGCAAGTCAGATAATGCATTTCTTTTTTTAAACCCATAACAGAACAATTCGAAATACCAACACCGGAGCCCCGAGCTAACCACACGTCGAGTGGGTGTTCACGTTAATAATTATCAGCCCCCCAAAAAACAGGACACATTCGTACAGCAGCTTCTGTCCTTAACCCTTCCTTTAACGGCGCGCTCCGGCAAGACGTCCTTCCACTGTTGTCGTCTGCTCGGACTTCTCGCGTCTCAACATCCAGAATGTGCTGCGGGGATTGCACGAACGGGGCGAATGCTGACAACAGAGATTGCAACACCCCACCACCACCCACCCACCCACCACCACCACGATCACCACCACCTCCCCCCCACCCATCAATCGCTCCCCTAGGGGTGGCTTAGCGGGCGTGATGAGCACCCAATCCCGCAGGCACCGCGCGCGCACGATCGTAGTAAACAATGAACGTCATCCATTGGCTCATGGCTCACAACCAATTAGCGCGGTTGGCTACGTACGGCGAGAAAGAAGTTCAGCATACATACATAGCAGTCGCAAACACCAGCTGTCCTTCGCTCTCGGGTAACAAAGGGGAACGCCCGCCTGAACGCACGGCTTTACATGATTGTGCCTCCCGTTCCTTTAAAGCAGAGGCTGCGAATATCAAACAAGCTGATGCTTTGTTTCGCCACTCCTATCGTTTATGTTTTTTATTCTCTCTTTGTATTGTCTGTTGTTGTAACTTGCTGACCCTCCCCGACTGAGCTTCATAGCTCATCGGATTCCTCCTCCAGTCTAAGTACAGGTTCTGACTCTGAGCTGTTATTCAACATACGCGCGTATATGTGTGTGTCCGTAATAGCAATGTAGTGCTTGCCCCATGCGCGTTTAAATCAAACGATGATAACAGTTTGTGTCCGATTATAGTAGTTGTTCGCATGAGCTTCTTTAATATCCGTATCGCCAAGCGGTCAACCCATGGCACCTGGATCTGTCCCTTGACCTCCCTGTGGGCCAGCTTTCGACACTTCACGCGGGTCCAAAAGTGCACCTAGCCTGGCACAAGCGCCGCGGTTTCCGTGTACATGCGCACGTGTGCATGTCCAATAATAAGCACATATAACGGCTGTTTTTTTTTTAATCCACTGCTAGATTGTTGTGCCATTCTGACCCGACCCCGACCGGAAATCTGTGAAAAAGAGCTTCACAGCTCATCAGATTCCTCAAGTATAAGTACATATTATGATTCTGGATTGTCTCCTCTTCGCCAGAGCGGTCACGTGGGTTTGTTTGACCATACTTCACCACGTTGGCCAATGCGAGGTGGGCGGTTGGGGCGGAGGCTCGGTGAGAGACACGGACTCGCCCACGTCAGCCACGTCCGGGGAATCGAACTCAGGTGGTCGGGTTTCCGAGCAGAGTGGCACTAACCACTGCGCGACTGCTCCACCTCTCAGCTGTAATATTTGCATATAAATCATTTGTGTTGTTGTCCGCCAGTGCACTGATTAACCCTCTTCATAAAAAAAAACGGAGCGATTTTCCGTCGGCAAATTAAAAGTGCCTTTGGAAAGCTGGTCTCCTTTTCCAGCGCATTCCGTGTTTAATTGACCTCGAGATGTCGATGATCTTTCGTGGCTGATTCCTGGCTGTAACGCTTAATGCATCAATTATGCATACGACTGGTTTGGTGGCAGATTCTTTGCTATGCAGTAGCCTCACACACACACACACGAGTGGAGCTATTGATCCGCAACCCAGTAGGATCCCCCATTAAACCTAAAACAATCAAGCCCATGGCAACAATCCAGCAGTTCAAGTGCACCTACGTTATAACCCAAACAGACTGTGATTACAAAGAACCCGTGGTAGTGTACGCGTTTCGTTTTTGGGCCTTTTTGTTTTGCAGTGGGTGACAGCCCACCAATTTACCCATCTATCTGACATTTGCCCAGACAGCATTTTAAGTTATCACAATACGGTTTAAATGACGTGCACCTATATGTATATTCGTCTGTGCTTGGGTGTGACACAGAATATGAGTGTCACGATTTTTTGGTGTTCGCTGACAGCACTTGCCCCAACAGCCTGAAAAAGGCTATACGGGGGATCTTTGTCTTTGAAACAATTGACCACTTCGAGTACGTTATAGTGTTTCTGATTACCCTTGGCATGCATAACTGCAGCAGGACCATTATTATCAGAGCTACACGTGCCTCTGCTGTCCAGGTTTACACAAGAAAGACAAAGAACCTCCCGATAGCCTCAACATACTCTTAGGGCAAGTGTACACACGCATACACATAGACCGCTCCAATCACAAGCTAATACATAACACTTGTGTGTGTGCTACAATTGACCACATGAAGTGTCTCTGATTAATTACCATTCGGAGGTTATGGATAACTGCAACAGGAAATTAATTATTTTGAGACTGCAAATGCATATGCATTAGAGGAGCACACAAAGACAACGATTCCCCGTATAGCCTGAACATACTGTTGGGGCAAGTGCTGTTAGCGAGCATCTATTGAAGATCGGCACGGCACACGAAGGGGGTGGGTGACCAGCACCATGCCCGGCCGCCTTTGTTTCCCCGATGGCGATGATCACACAACACACCGGGTACTTATTTGAGGCTGAGTCGACTTAGAGGAGGCCCAGAATCGGTTCAGATAATGGTCACTGGAGTTAGCCGTGAGCGGGAATCGAACCCGGATTCTCCGGGTTTGTTGCGCAGCGCGCAAACGGCTACACTACCGCTCATCAAACACACGAAACAAAGACAGACATCCCCCGTGTAGCCTTAACAGGCTGTTGGGGCAAGTGCTGTTAGCGAGCACCCATGAAGACCGTTGCGGAACACACACATACACACGCACGCGAAACAGTCGCGCGTACAAAGATAAATTGTATCACAGGACCTTACTCAAACTGGCGCGTTTAGCGCGTGCGGGACAGACGTCAAATGAGAGAGAGAGAGAAACGTAGAATTACCTTCAGTTCAGGGCGTCTGCTTGCGACGTGCAAGCGAACGTTCTTGTTACCCCAACTGTGCTCAAGAAAAGATCCATCCACCGCAGCGCGCCTTGTTTACTTTGAGCGCTGGTCTTGAACGCATAGCCGCTGTCAACACCCGCGAGCAGTGGTGGGGAGTGGGAGGAGAACCTTCGCACGCTGACTTTCGTTCAGCCCTGCCTGCAGCCAAAGGGATACCTCTCTGTGTGTGTGTGGTGTGGGTGTGTGTTATGTGTGTGAGTGAGACAAACCAAAAGGAGCGAACGAGAGAGAGAGAGAGAGAGGGGGGTGGGGGGGGTGAAAGGGGGTGGGGTAGGGAACGATAAGCAGGAGCTACAAAATGATATTCAGTTCATCAAGCAGCCCCTTGCTAAAGTCGTACGCGCGAGATGTAACTGCACGGGTTGGGTCGGGTGGGCGAAGCGATTGGCTCAATGTAAACCCAGCAGCAGCAGCGGCGGCAGCGGCGGCAGTGGCCAGTGGCATCCGCGTGCTGATGATGTTAAGCTCCGAGGAGCAGGGGATGAACAGCAGCAGGAGGAGGAGGGAGGAGGGAGGAAGGAGGCACGCGTAGTTGGTGCGGGCGTGTCCACGCCGCCGAAGCGCACGGTCTGACAGCGGGGAATTAGTCATTAGTACGTCACTGTGCCCCGCAGTGGATTATTTTTGCCTCCGCCGAGGGTCTCGCTTGGTGGTGGTGAATGGAGAAATGGGGGCTGGGGGCAACGAGGGTAACGAGGGAGGGGGTTTGCCGGATTGGGTTGCACGGCGGCGTGCCTTGTTGTGCAGGTCGTGGCGCGTGTGGCTATCAGAACCCCAACATTTACTCACACTGGGCGGATACCATGCGACGCAAAAACTCCTTTTCGCAGATGTCCAGCAAGGGGCGGGTGAGAACGTTTGAACATCAAACGTACAAACACGCGATAGGAGTGCAGACGATAGGAAAGGTCAGGCAATTACTGGAAAAAAATGTGCAAATACAATTAAAACAAAACTATTTATATTCCAACAGGTTAAGCCCACTGAGCAGATTAGCTTTTTTTTTCCTTCAGAAACGACCTCGCCACAAATGACAGCTCAACCAAGTAGCTCATCATGACGTGAAAATGTATTGCAGAAAAGCAGAGAGGCATCGGAAGGGTAGATCCGTGTTTCATGGTTTTGGGGGAATTCTGCATTGCGTCTCGTGTCGCGTCTCTCGGGCTTCACAAAGCAACACACAAAGGCAAAGATCCCCCGCGTAGCCTTCACTGGCAGTTCGGGGCAAGTGCTGTTTGCGAGCTCCGGTGAGGAGTGGGTTAGGGGTGCACCGACTGACGGTATGTGCAAGACCACAACTGGCGCCAATGTTGACACATGCTACCTGGGGCAAAATGTAGGCTGAGCCAAGCTAGGGGAGCGTAAGAACCGGTTCAGATATGTTTGTTTTTTTTACCGGTGTTGATCGTGGTCGGGAATCTAACTCACAGATGCTTGCTATCATAATCTACCCGCTATCCAAAGACAAAGATCCTCCGTATAGCCTTAACAGACTGTTGAGGCAAGTGCTGTTAGCGAGCACCTATTGAAGGCCGGCACGGCACACGGAGTGGTGGGTGGCCAGCAACACGGCCCGATCGCCTTTGTCTCCCTAGTGGTCGATGGTTACACACCGCACCAGGTACTCATTTGAGGCTGAGTCGACTTAGGAGAGGCCCAGGACCGGTTCAAATATTCGTCACCGTTGTTGGACGACAGCGGGAATCGAACCCGTGTGGCCGGGTTCGTAGCGCAGCCCGCTCACCGCTGCACCACCGCTCGCCCACCCGCCACCCATACGCATGCACTCGTGCATGATGAACGGACACGCATTCGTTCCATCCACTACCTCCGTCTATGCATCCATGGGGACATTTAAGGGATGCTTGCTTGTTACAGTTATCCCTCCTGGAGTGAAATTCCCAGAACTTCGTGATTTTTAATAAAGCAGATGAGAGCAGATCACAAGAAGTGTTCTTAATTGTATTGGACCGTTCCTTATGTCTCCATCTGCATCGTCATCACCACCACCATCAACTATGGCCAATCCACTGCTGGCTGAAGGCCTCCTCAAACTGCAACCACTAATTCGATCCAGCAATGTAATCATAATAATAATCCACCGAGCACCTGCATACAAATGTATGTAATCATCCCAACTTGTAACGTCCTTTTGGACAGTAAAAGTTCAATAGAAGGCCATTGGGCATTTTGGAACTTTCATTTTGTATGTATGACTCATGCGAGCATGCATTGCACTCCTTGAGAAGTAAAATATGCTGTGTGATTAAATTGGTTCTCATTTTCGTGTTTGTACTTGTGTATATATATAAATAGCAATGTTTTCTTAAATGTTTGGAAACGTTATTTCAATGTCTTGTAAAATCGATTCACGTTCCACAATAAGTGTATGTGGCATAGTCGTAAGTACTAATGATAATCACTATTCGGTCCTTTGGCATGGAATCAAAGATTTAATTCTCAGTGTGCTATCCATTACGCCACGGTTGCATCCAAATTGTTAACCGATAGCAAGCCAATTCACGGTTCTCTCGCCACTGATATCAGCCAAGGCCGTGAATCGTGCTCAAAAGGCCTGGTTCGGATAGCAAAAGCACTCGCCACTAAGGACGTTGCGTAACGTATATGTATATACGGTATTCTAGAAAGATATAGTGAATCTAATATACACATGAAGTTAATTTATTATCAGGCAAGACCCCATGGAGATAAACGCAGTGAAAAATGTAATTCTGGGAATAATTAATGGTTTTTTTAGTCGTAAAAAAAATAATGTATGCAAAAGCTAACATGAAATTGATGTCTACATCATTAGACCTCCTTTGCCAGTACCAAAATGTAATAATAGGGTTTTTCCCCTTTTTTCTGGCAACAAAACTGAAACCTTTTTACAAAGATTCATGTCTGCATTAACCACAATACCTGCAGTCAAAATGCAAACAAAAAACATACTTTGATAATATATGCATTGTCCTTGAAACTGATTGGTCCACACCAAGGGACGGCTTTCTTTTGAGCCTCGACCCAATTGGTGCTCGACCACATGACGCCTTCATGGCGAGGCTCAAAAGAAAGCCGTCCCTTGGTGTGGACCAATCAGTTTCAAAGACAATGCATATATTATCATAGTATGTTTTTTGTTTGCATTTTGACTGCAGTTATTGTGGTTAATGCAGACATGAATCCTTGTAAAAAGGTTTCAGTTTTGTTGCCAGAAAAATGGGGAAAAACCCTATTATATGAAATTGATGTTTTATCAATGTATTGCACGCGAATTGTAAATCAGAGTTCATTGTTAAATGAAGGAATTTAGGCAGTCAAATAAAAACAAATGTTATATGTTCAATCCTTCAAATATGAATATCATCTTACAGTCGACCTCTGAAATTTTTTTTTTATTGAGACCTTGAATGTTCTGTTGTCATAATCTTCAACCGCACCTTTTTCCGCTTGTTGCCCGAGACCGGTCTCAACCGAGTCTCAAGACGCTTTTTCAGGAGGGCCTTGCCAAGTTTGTTGTTGGTGTTGTACGTGCGGTAGGGGGCGATGTTGCTGCCATGCCAAATTGAGGCCAGTAATTTGCATGCCATGTTTTACCATTGGGACTTTTGTCCAATACCATTTGCATTGTTTTTGTTAATTTTATCCACTGCTGGATGATGTAACGATCCACCTAGTTCCTCTGACTTGACGGCAACAGTTTATCTATTGTAGTCGAGCACCAGCCGCCATTCCTCCTCGTCACATGTCCTGCCTCATCCCACACTGACTTTTCTTAGCAGTCAAAATTATGCAGCCTCGCTTGCATTTGCTCTCTCATCCGTGTGTTTTCTCTTTCTCGTTTTCATTCCAAGCATGCGCTATTTCCTCACTTTGATCGTAGTCTGCGCTTTGGGCCTCTGCTAAGAAACTGTGATTTTGTTTTAATCTGCCAAAGTTCGTTCCCTCTCCTGCCCCCTTCTTCCTATGCATTCCAATCCTTTCTCTCCATTTCCCTCCCTCTCTTTTCTCTATGCATCCCATAGATCGGTGCTTCTCAGCCGTTATCATTCCACGTCACACCCTCGAGTTGGCTTGATATTCGTGGCACACCGAAACCATAAACTCACTGTGGGTGCCCGGGTGGGTGGCCGGCGGTGGGGACTTGACGGGCCGTCTGCTGCCCGTGCTGCGTCTCGACCAATTGGGAGGGGATGGTGGGAGGCGGGGACTAGATCGGCCACTGAACGACACGGGAGAAGATCGTCTGTCCTAGCTTGTGAAGAGTGAGGCTCTCTCTCTCTCTCTCCTGTAATTCAGACAATACAACAGCACACATTTGATCGTTGCGGTGGCTCACCGGTTGCGAGGCATTGCGCTAGGTTACCGCTTGAAACAGCTTGCCATGTTACGTCGCAATATACATTGCTATTTGTATTGTTATTAATTCTAGTTTGTGCCAGACACTTAGGTTTATATGGACCCCAGTTTATTGTGTCTCTGTACTGGAAATTGTCGTTGCAAATACTAATGTAAAAAACATATTTTGTAACATTTGGGTGCATGCATAAAGGTGACACATAAATTGTACATTTTTACCGAAAGATATAAAAAAATGATTGTGAAAGAACTTTAATGGGAAATATAAAACTGAAGTCCACATCTGAGAAACAAATATTGCAATCTTTTATGAGATTTTTTTTGTATATACATTTCACAACACCAATCCAACCCAAAGCATACATTGCCATGCATTTAGTCAATTTCATCAGCGAGAAGGGGAAAAAAACATATTCGGTTGACATGATTTATGTTTGCAGAAGATAAATTGCAGCTGAAATTACAAACAACCACGTGCTTTTCAACACCGGCAAGGTCTAAAGAAGCAGACAGACAGAGCCACATATTTTCCTGTCACCATTCGCCATCAGCAAAACCCACAGACTCACAAAACAGCTTTTCGACCAGAGCATGAATACATTCCAAAATGTGCATTCACAAAAAAGCCACACGAACAAAATAAAAATTGGCTCTGCAATGTAAAAAAAAAGGGCCCGATTTTAAAAAAAATCACATTTTATTTATTCAAGCACAGAGTAATACAAGTCTCACGACTCCGTTTAGCATTGTCCTGCTTTGGTTTGTTGACCATTTCCATGTCAAACTGATATGCAATGAAGATCTTGTTCATGCCTCCGTGCTATTATATATTTTTTTCTAGGTATGTTTGCTTGTCGTTATATTCACCGTACTCTCCCGCGCCCCAACACGTGTACCCGGTATAGAAATAGGTTTTACCCTTTTAACTGGCACAAAAACTGACACCTTTATTCAAGGCATTATGTTTGCAATAACCACAACACAAGCAGTCAGAATGCAAACAAAAGAGACAACTCTGATAATAATATGCACTGTCCTTGAATTTGATTGGTCCACAACCGAGACGGCTTTTCTTAGAGCCTAGTC